GAGAGTGTTGAGATCCTTAGATTCTTCAATTGCCGTCTTCTTGGCTTCCCAACTCTTAGGCAAGCTTCTAAGAACCTTTCTCACCACTTCTTGAGGAGGATAGACTTTACCAAGAGCCTTGAGATTGGTGATTATGTCATTCAATCTTGTATACATATCTTGAATGCTCTCTTCTGGTTTCATCTTGAAAAGCTCATACATGAAAATGAGTCTATTGATTTTTGACTCCTTTACTTGGCTTGTTCCTTCATGAGTGACTTCTAGCATGTCCCACATCTCCTTAGCTGTATCACACCCGGAAACTCTATGGAATTCCGTTGGATTGAGAGCACATTGAAGCATGTTGATTGCTTTGTTGTTGATCATGATCATCTCCAAGTCTTCATCATTCCAATCTATCTCTTCCTTTGGCACCTCCCTTTCTCCAACAACTTTCATGGGTACATATGGACCTTTCATAGTCACAACCCATGCCTTGGGCACATTTGCAAGCATGAAGACCTTCATCCTATTCTTCCAATAATTATAATTAGTACCATCAAAGAAAGGAGGCTTAGTGGTAGACAAACCTTCAAGTGGTTGAGAAGATAGAAATTGAGCCATTCCCGATCAACTCTTAGGTGGTTAAACCTTCAAATTGGAGCCCTTGCTCTGATACCAATTGTTGACTCAATGTACTCTAAGAAGGCGGTGAATTGGAGTTCCAAAAATTCTCCCCTTTTTCAACCATGATGAGCTAAATTTATATACATATTAATAGGGAATTTTTACTTTGATATTATTGATATTTGGATGAGTTTTATGGGATTTTTTTTGATTTTACATGGTTTTCATTCTTTGTGTAGGAAAGGATTTAATTGGAAGAAATCTTACTTTTTAGAAGTAAATTGAAGAGATCAGAGACTTGAGGATCAACTTCTGCAGAATCCAGAAGTTAGGAACCAAATCTGCTATTTTACCATTGAAGAAATTGCAAAAGGAGACCAGAAACCCGACACGGGTGTAGTGTCGAAACATGATCGGGGTGTCGACACCATACGCTAAATGTCCAGAATCAGATTCTATTTCCTATTTTGTGTCAACACGTAATCCGAAGTATCAGCACCACGCGATCAGCATCTAAAATTCAGTTTCCTATTTCTGTTCCAAGTCCTACTTCTATCTCAATTAGGGTTTCTAAAATCCTATAAATACCCATCCAAATTCAAAATGAAGAGAGTTTGTGGAGGCTGGTGGCAGCCCTCTTTTGGGCACTCTTGGAGGTCAAGATAAAAGATCCATCAATGAAA